AGTAGTAGTAGTGTAGTAGTTGTAGTGGTTGTGGTGAAAGTAGTAGTAGTAGTAGTTGTAGTAGTAGTAGTAGTAGTAGTAGTAGTGTAGAAGTAGTAGTTGCAGTAGTAGTAGTAGTAGTAGTAGTTGTTGTAGTAGTAGCAGTAGTAGGAGTTGTAGCAGTAGTAGTAGTAGTAGGAGTAGTAGTGGTAGTAGTAGTAGTAGTATTTTGTAGTAGTAGTAGTAGTAGTAGTAGTTGTAGTAGTAGTGGTAGTGGTGGTTGTGGTTTTGGTTGTGGTGAGAGTAGTAGTAGTAGTAGTAGTAGTAGTTGTTGTAGTAGTAGTAGTAGTAGTAGTTGTAGTAGTGGTAGTGGTGGTTGTGGTGGTTGTGGTTTTGGTTGTGGTGAGAGTAGTAGTAGTTCTGGTGGGAGTAGCGGTAGTAATTGTGAGTGAGTGCGTGAGTGAGTACTTTTGTACTATTCCAACAATACTACGACTGTAAGGGCTATGTAGTGACTTGAACCATACCCGGACTGTTGTAGTGGTAAAGTAAGAATGTTGCTATACCCAAGACAGGTGTTCCAACTAGTCGTGTCTGTAGCCGTAGGATAAACGTGTCAATAGTGTTAACTATGGAATCCTAGAAGGGACATTGTCGCGTTGTCGCCCTCACAAAAACAAGCAAAAGTGGCAAAATCAATTGAAGTTGAAATTTGTTTATTCACCCGAAGGGCGACAATGCGACAATTTTCAAGGTCAGATGCGACTAAAAGTGACAATGTCCCTTCTAGGTTTCCATAGTTCATTTACACGAAACATTGCAACATACTTCTATCATTTGTCCCAGATATACCGAAAACACAAACAAAGATCATATGACCAATTTGACCATTGGGTTCATGCAGCTGATGTCGATACGTCAACAATGTGATCGTTCATCCGCAAACGTTGTCTATTGTTCTGTCAGTGGCGTCAATATCCTCACATTGGGCACAACTAAACGAGTTACTCGATAACCATCACACTTTGAGAATGGTTCGGTTTGAATCCGTCTGAAAAACGGCGTTTCACGGCACGTTTCAAATGAGTGGTCTACATGCAGGTCAAATAATTCCGATATCTGTTTTAAATGTGATTGGTGATACTGTTAACGCAGTTCAAAGCTATACTCTTCCAATATGACGGCGACTTAGACCAGACAATACGGTGATTGATAATGCGTGCAACGATCCACTTCAGCAACGGGGTCGTCACGTTGAAGACCCGGGTTCGATTCCCCACATGGGTACAATGTGTGAAGCCCATTTTTGGTGTCCCCAGCCGTGAATTTTCTGGACTATTGCTAAAAGCGGTGTAAAACTAAACCTCACACACTCACTCACTCACTCACTCACTCACTCACTCCAGCAACCAAGTCTGACCATATCCACAGCTAACGTTGGTTAATTCCCACAGCTATCAATATGCCTTTTCTTAAATGATAAATATTGTATTGCTACGATGCATAAAATATAAAACGTAAGGTATTCTTTACATTTTTATTAGAGTCCTGTATTTATGCATTGAGCCATTAAAACAGGGTAGCCCTGTCCTTCTTCACTTCAATGTTGTTCAGAGGGAACAGCTCGGCTTTCGTGTGTTTCGTGACCTTGATGGCATGGCTGGGGATAAGAACTGCCTCTGGTTTGTTGACCCGGATGTTTGACAGAGGGATCAATGCAGCTTCCGGTTTCTTTACCTCGATGTTGGACAGCGGTACCAGTTGAGCCAAGGGACGAACAGGGATGTTTGTCAAAGGTGTCAATTCAGCTCTAGGACCAACAGGAATGTTTGACAGAGGGATCAGGGCAGCTTCCGGTTTCTTAACCTCGATGTTTGACAGCGGAAACAGTTGAGCCCTCGGACCAACAGGGATGTTTGACAGCGGAATCAGTTGAGGTCTGGGACCAACAGGAATGTTTGACAGCGGAATCAGTTCAGCCCTCGGACCAACAGGGATGTTTGACAGTGGAATCAGTTCAGGTCTGGGACCAACAGGGATGTTTGACAGCGGAATCAGGGCAGCTTCCGGTTTTTTAACCTCGATGTTTGACAGAGGAAACAGTTCAGCCCTTGGACCAACAGGGATGTTTGACAGAGGAAAAAGGGCAGCTTCCGGTTTGCTGACCTTGATGTTTGACAGCGGGAACAGTTCAGCCTTCGGACCAACAGGAATAAAGGACAACGGAAACAGCTGAGCCATTGGTTTCTTGACTTCAATGTTTGACAGTGGGAACAGTTCAGCTCTCTGTTTATCAACCTTGATGAAACTCAGCGGGAAGAGCTGAGCCGAGGGTTTAGGGTGCATCGGGATGGGGATGTTTGACCTTGGAATCAGTCTAGCCCAGAGATGAGCGGATCCTGGTCATGAAAATAAAGACAACCAGTTAGTAAAGTTTGAGGACGGTTGTGTGTATAAATGGACATATGTTTGATTGGTCATGAATCAAAGGACTTACTCATTCAGTCAATGGAGTATAATTTGAATGTTATTGTAGGCAGTTTTAGGCAATATTCCAGCATGGAAAGGCATATTTTTGCGACCAGCGTGACTGGTCCAAGTGACGACGCATCTGTTAATCGTGACGCTACTAGTTGATATAAAATATAATCCTCAAAACGAGCTGCATATTCATAAGAAATCCCTACACAAATCAGATGATGATCCCAGCTTCATCATACACATACTCATCAAATAGATAGTGATGAAACCAAGTGTTCGCATAAAGGTGAGCGTATTCTGTCCAACTGTTCGCCACATCACAAATACATGCAAAGACAAGTAAATTGTTAACTAAAGGAAAATCGACCAGACTGATAATACAAGAATTAAGAAATGCATAGATCATTTGCCCTCCACATGTATAAACATCCCCAAACAAATCCATATTGTTTAATTGTAAACACAAAATTGTGACTTACCCCCGGTGAGGAAAAGTACCAGAGTTGCGGCGGCGAACAACATCGTGTTTGTCTCTGCTGAGTAACGACGACAGAACAACGAGGCTCTTTCCCTTTATAGGCAGTCAGGGACACGTCATCTGTGCAGATGGAGATTTTACAGACATCAAGTACCATCACATCATTGGGGTCATAAATCACTTTCGTTTTCAGCTGAAAAAATCAAGCTTTTCTAACTCATTTGTACATGTTACTCTGCATTTAGTAGTAAGAGGTTCATGAAGGTTTTCATATTCCTCATTCGATCATTTTAAATTTAAATTTTTGCTAAAGTTTATTTAATATTTCTCATTTTGAATGTACCGGATGTCGTCTGCTGTCAATTCTTACAACGTCTTTACCTCCACGTCACGAGAGCGGACACATGTTAACTTCATCCTCGCTCAAGTTTATAGCCTCTTGTGCTTAATAGTAGGCGGATCAATGTTGTATATTTTTTAATACTGTTTTGGAAGCGACGACAAATTTAGCTCAGGGTGGTTTAGTTAGCCTTTACAACGTCCTGTAATACACTGGCGAGCAACATAGAATAAACATCTGTGTTTGATGTTTGCTTAATTCAAACAACCAAGGACCCGTGAAGATCCGGGGTAGAATAGGTCTTCAGCAACCCATGTGCTTGCCATAAAAGGCGACTTTGCTTGTCGCAAGAGGCGACTAACGGGATCGGGTGGTCAGTTTCGCTGACTTGGTTGACACATGTCATCGGTTCCAAATTGCGCAGATCGATGTTCATGCTGTTGATCACTGGATTGTCTGGTCCAGACTCGATTATTTACAGACCGCCGCCAGACAGCTGGCATATTGCTGAGTGTGGCGTAAAACTAAACTCACTGACTCAAACAACCAAGAAATGGTTGTTTGGTGGTGACGTGTATGAAAGGGTGTCAGAGACGTGATTTGCAGTATTTCTTGGGGCCGGTACTTAGATCGGATAGAAGACGTGTTGCGGTATGGTCAATGTGTTCACGTAATCGTAACAAACCCGTGATTTATCAACTACTAGACGAGTAACTTCCCTTAGCTCGTAGTAAAGGGCGACCTCTGGCGTGGATCGTGATTTGTTTTCATTCAGTGGTAAGTCTGATCCAGAATCGATTACCTACAGGGGACACTAGAATGAACTTTTGGGGATTCGAACCTGGACCCTTGGCTTGATGAGCGACCACATAAACCACAAGGCTACCCAACGTCCAGTTATGATCTGAAAACAGTTCAATTCAGTGATACATATTAGTGGAGCGCCAAAACACCTCATGATGAATTACCAAACCCGTGTTAGGAAACGAACCCCGACTTTCTACCTCACGAGCGATCGCATTAACCATAACCCTATCTCGGCGTCCAGTTGTCAAACACCCCAATGATCCGTTCAATAGTATACATCGAAGATTGATGATTACATCGCATGCAGAATAATCGAACGTTTTCACACCCACAATCCCGTATTCCGCAAGAGACTTCAAAAACATTATTCGTTAGAGATTTAAGGGACGGTGGGGTAGCCTAGTTGATAATGCGTTCTCACTCGTCACACTGATGATCCGGGTTCGATTCCCCACATGGGCACAATGTGTCAAGACCATTTCAAGTGTCACCCCGCCCTGATATTGCTGGAATATTACAAAACGCAGCGTAAAACTGTCATAAGAGATTTACAAAAATCCCTCACAAACAGTTCCATCCGCTTATATCAGCATATGAAAGCCTACGTGCAAACGCCCTGAAAATGCATCAATTCACTTTTGTAATAAGTGACAATTGAAACAGTAAATGTCACTTGTGCGTGCTTCCTCTTGCATATTCAACATCCAGTTTGTCATTTATACAGTCACAAATACGAATACATGATTGACACGTCAAGAAGGTAATAGTGGTATTAATTTAGTTGCTGTGTGTAGCTGGAAGGTACACAGAGACGTAGGTAGATTTGCTGAAGTGCCTACAACATGAGTTATATTGTCGTTACATTATAGCCAATGTCATGTTTAGACGGAGTAGGGTGATTCAGGCTTGTGGAAGGGTGACATAAAGTATACAGGCCAGTTTGGAAGGTCAATGAGATTTATGTGTGGGATTATTCGGTTATTACCTTACATACTAATATAACCTATCAATATATACTGCAATATATGCCCGGAAATATGACTTCCTCATCACATGGCTTATATGCTCCTAGTAACCACTGTTACGCTGTATCTTTTTGCGTTAGTCGTGTTTTAGGTACGAATAATGAAAACAAAATAATGACAAGTCATTGTCTGTGTTTATGTTTTCAGGAACAATCATAAAATTAAAAATGGTTCAAAATTGAAAAACATCTACAATAATACATTTGTGTCAAATGTTTCATAAAGTCGGGGAATTGGACCAGAATATCCCTGGATCTATGGGTGTCTGTCCTTGCAGCCGATCTCAGCTATGGGGTTTCTGTTTGAGACTAAATACTCAGCAAATCTGTCGCGTGAAATTATGTGATTGTAGGTAAGATTATTCCTCACAAATGTGCAAAACTGGACTTGGATCATACGAAAATTAAATTCATGAAAATTATTTATGCTACACTAAATTTACATGTAAGTCTATGGAAGTTACGTCAAGTGTCCGACTATAACTGGCACGGGTCTGTATATCTAATGTTTTAACTTTGTAATATGGTGTCTCGTAGACCTGAGGGCGAGATGTGTTCTATGTGTATATTTTAATGATTCTATGAGCATGTGACACGTAAATAAAATAGATTTCTTCTGTCCTTCTGTATTCCAGTCGAGTGATCACGAATAACGAATTGAATTCATGAAAGTTAACGGTTCGATTCACCGAATACCTGGGCCGATATAACAAATCTGTTAGCACTAAAAAGTTTTAAAATGTCAACAAAGGGTAAATATAAATACACGGTCAAAATAACAAATACCCACTCGTAAAGTCATGAATAACTCACGATGTGGTGTAACACACAGTCTTACTTACCACATTCAGAGAGAGCTGCTACTCCACGGCTTGCCTGTCTCCCTATCAATCATCACACGTCCAAATCCTCCCTTTGGCATGGCTGATCTGGTACAAGGTTTGCAACAAACCTCACCACCACTGACGAATCACACAATCACACAATCGTCAGCTATCACCTTTATTACCCTCTGTACTGTTTAAGACTCAGGGTGATAGATTGCAATGTCTGTTATTTTTGCGGTATGTCACTCTTCGTTCAACCAATACGGCGTGCTATCTGTGACAGTGGGATTTATTTCTTCAAAGAAGGAGGATTAACAAATGACTGCTTTGGGGGGATTTACATCAGAGATCGATTCATGTTCGGAGTAAATTTCATGATCATTGAGGATGTAGTTTTTGTAAGTGCACTGTAGTTTAGGGTGAGTGAGTTTAGTTATACGCCACACTCAGCAATATTCCAGCTTTATAGCGGTGGTCTGTAAATAATCGAGTCTGGACCAGACAAACCAGTGATCAACAGCATGAACATTGATCTACGCAATTGAGATACGATGACATGTGTCAACCAAGTCAGCGAGCCTCACCACCCGATCCAGGTAGTCGCCTCTCACGACATGCATGGGTTTACTGAAGATCAATTCTAACTCAGATCTTCACTGATCGCATTTAGGGAGATAGTTGACAAAATATGTTTTGAGTATGAATGTCGAGTGAAGGCGTATCTGTGTAACCTTCAACCTCTCCCTGATATAATATGCATTAAAGGCTGGTATGTTTAAACTCCCTTAGGCAGAGCGAGCGAGTGAGTGAGTGAGTGAGTGAGTGAGTGAGTGAGTGGGCTTCACACATTGTACCCATGTGAGGAATCGAACCCGGGCCTTAAGCGTGATCTACCCGCCCCTCCCTTATGTAGGGATAACAGAAAGATTACTAATAATACCATTTCAAGTTTAAGACTTGAACGTTTAATTTCTTACGACTAATCTACTCCACCACCCCTCCCGTATGCAAAGATTACAGAAAGATTAAATCATAATAGTAATTCAATTTCAAATTTGTTTTACGATAAGTCAAGGTTTGAAACATTCTTTATGCATTCATATACACGCTTTCAAATCATTTGAATGTGTTCGTCTTGCATCATGCTCGTATCACGATTGAAATATGAAACAGCCAATAACGAAAAGAGTGAGTGAGTGAGTTTAGTTTTACGCCGAACTCAGCAATATTCCAGCAATATGGCGGTGGTCTGTAAATAATCGAGTCTGGACCAGACAATCTAGTGATCAACAGCATGAGCATCGATCTGCGCAATTGAGATATGATGACATGTGTCAACCAAGTCAGCGAGCCTGACCATCCGATCCCGTTAGCCGCCTCTCACGACAAGCATGGGTTACTGAAGACCAATTCTAACCCCGGACCTTCACGGGTAAATATCGAAAAGAGGATGAAACGTTTTTGTTACGTGGTTGATGGATGCATTAGATCCTGTTTGCTTAGATCGATGCACGTGATGTTAATCATGGGCTTGTCTGGTCCAGACTGAAGTATTTACAGACAACTGTAATATATCCGGAGTATTGCTTGTGTGGCGTTAACCAGCAACAAGCCAAAGACAATATGAAGCACTTAGAAGCTGGATACGTATTCCAGAAACATAAGGTTGAAGGCACAGGGCTAAGAAAATAGACAGTGTCAGCTATCTGTCTGAACAATATATTTGTTTATGTGTTTCTCATGATGTCGACAGTTTAGTCCACATAAGTACTTAAATGCTTATTTGTTTTATCCAGAGTCGTGTCGTTTTTGTAATAGTAAGGGAAACAACTCTAGCTTGAACCTGGGTCTTGATTCAGTAGTCCGGACGATTCGAAATCCGGACGAATTTGCTGAGAAACGCAACCGTCCGGATTAACGAGGCTTCACTGTACTCGAGAGTCGCTTATCCGGCCACGTGCGTTTTCTCACACTATTGTATGGATAAAAGAACTTCCCAATATCTTATTCTCGTCAGTTGAGAAGAAACTTAGTTAATAGAAAAGAATGTATATTATATTCTGGTAAAATAATTTATTTGCAAATCTTATATAGTCAGTCATAACTGCTGAAAATTAGACAAGGACTGTAACAAATTTAAAGTAATAGATCGTAATGCTGGGTGTCCGTTTAAGCAAATTTCACTATGGACGAACCAACACCGATTTTCATTACTTGTGAGCTTAAAGTTTTAAAGGTTGTAAATAATGCTTTTTGTTGAAAATCATGTTTGCCGATTTTTATGAGTCACATATATTTAAAAAGTAAAATGAAATCCCACTACTATTGGCTGGTTTGATGCTGTTTTTGCGCTGCAATAAATTTCCATGAATATTGGCTTAAGCCCAGTGTCTTCCCCTGATTGACATTTGTGCTGCAAAAGCGCCTTTGATATATAGAACAAAACCAACCATATTTTTCTATTTTGCATAAAACTTTACTCCAGGCTAAGTTTCAATGTTAGACTTCCTCATGTTGAACAGCTGATTGAAACTTGAAATAATTCATTACTGAACAATTAAAAAGAGATCAAAGTAGATTTTGAAGGCGTTAATATATCACACTTTTATATATTTTATCAAAGTGTCATGCATAATTTGTCAGTGTCGTTTGTTGAACTATGTGCACCTGTGGGGAAATGTTAAGACAGATATCGTTAAGATATACCCTTATTGCCCTCTACCCGTGAAGATCCGGGTTAGAATATTGATCTTCAGTAACCCATGCTTGTCGTAAGAGGCGACTAACGGGATCGGGTGGTCAGGCTCGCTGACTTGGTTGACACGTGTCATCGGTTCCCAATTGTGCAGATCGATGTTCATGCTGTTGATCACTGGGTTGTCTGGTCCAGACTCGATTATTTTCAGAACGCCGCTATATGTCTGGAATATTGCTGAGTGCGGCGTGTTTCAAACGTGTCAAGATGCCCATCCGTGTTGTACTGCATCATCCAGTCAAGCTTAACAAGCGTTTGTTGTTTAACACTGCAAGTCAGCAGTATCCTGACAGTATCGCCAAAGCGGCCTGTAACTCTTTTTAAAAAGAAAACGAAAGAAGAGTGAGTGAGTGAGTGAGCTTTTATACAAAGTCTTGTTAAATGAAGGCGTGTCAGCTTGAGAGAAGAACGCCCGAAGTGATATTTATTTTTCAGACACAATGTACGCAGTGTAAAACCCACCACCTCGGTAATGGTACTGACAAATTCGGCAAACTGGAATTCGAAGCCATAATCATTGGTTCCTGGTTTACCCAAGGGAAGCAACTTTGCACAGCCAATGCGGCGCCTAAGACAAGACTGGCAAGCAGAATATAAAGAAAGAAAGAAGACGCTTTCCATTTAAAGGTAAAGGGTATAAAGATAGCCACAGCATTGGGTAAAACTAATCAGAACCAGAAGAAGGGATGGTTGACAGTATGTGCACCGCGCCATGGTAGTACATGTATACACCACTCGTGGAGATCCAGGTTACAGCTAGTCTTCAGCAACCCATGCTTGTCGTAGGAGGAGTATCAATCAACAGTATCAACTACACCAACAGCCACAACTACAACAACAACTACTACTACTACTACTTTCAGGTGCTACAGCTACTACTACTACTTTCTGCTGCTACAACTACTACTACTACTTTCTGCTGCTACAACTACTACTACTTTCTGCTGCTACAACTACTACTACTTTCTGCTGCTACAACTACTACTACTTTCTGCTGCTACAACTACTACTACTTTCTGCTGCTACAACTACTACTACTTTCTGCTGCTACTACTACTACTACTTTCTGCTGCTACAACTACTACTACTTTCTGCTGCTACAACTACTACTACTTTCTGCTGCTACAACTACTACTACTACTTTCTGCTGCTACAACTACTACTACTACTTTCTGCTGCTACAACAACTACTACTACTTTCTGCTGCTACAACTACTACTACTTTCTGCTGCTACAACTACTACTACTTTCTGCTGCTACAACTACTACTACTTTCTGCTGCTACAACTACTACTACTACTTTCTGCTGCTACAACTACTACTACTACTACTTTCTGCTGCTACAACAACTACTACTACTTTCTGCTGCTACAACAACTACTACTACTACTACTTTCTGCTGCTACAACTACTACTACTTTCTGCTGCTACAACAACTACTACTACTGTCTACTGCTACAACTACTACTACTACTACTACTACTACTACTACTACTACAGATGCTACTAATGCAACAGCAGTAAACTAGCACTAAAACCACTACTACAATTACACAGTCCCTGCTGCTGCTGCTACTACTACTACTACTACTACTACTATTACTACTATTACTACTACTACTACTACTACTACTGCTACTACTACAGCTAATACTACTCCATTACTACTACTCGTGCTGTTGTTACTACTGCCACCGCTGCTACTATTAATGCTCCTTCTGCACTACTGCGGCTACTAGTGCTACGATTACTACTGCTGCTTTGGCAGATTTTATAAAATTCCACGAAATGAACGTGTTTGCCCTTTTCTTTTTTTATTATACCACTTGCCGAGGATGAATTTCACTTTTGACTCGTGTGCCCATTTTACCTTGATCTGCGATCCAATCTCATACTTCAGTATTATCACATGTTCCCAACTCGCGAGAAAATGGTCTTGTTATTTTGCTCCACTAATCAAAACATTTGCAAGAATTTGGCAATTACACACACACACACACACACACACACACACACACACATATACATATATATATATATATATATATATATATATATATATTGCTGCTAAGGGATATCTGTGAAATAACATCTTAGTAGCACTAATGTTCTCAATGTTCGTGTATTATATACAGCGCTCATGTTACAATTGTATTTATCCTATACCTGTGTTTTGAGCCCTCAGATTTTTATTATCTTCATAAATAAGCTATGCAGTCATATGGAGTTGGAAGGAGGTCAAGGTATTACAGTTTCCTCTTCTATTAGCAATCTCTGCTCTCTTATGTTTGATGATGATGTGTCACCTGTGCACAGCTGCAAAAAAAAAAGATCAATGTACTTGGTAAATTTTGTGAGCAAACTGGTATGAGTGTGAATCTAAAGAAAACTAAGATTATTGTTTTTAGAAATGGTGGTCCCTTGCGCTCATATGAAAATTGGTTTTGTAATGGCAATGTTATTGACACTGTATCCTTTTTACAAGTACCTTGGAATTATGTTCACTCCTAAATTATCCTGGAGTAGAGCTACATCTTGCCTTGCATCACAAGCTAGTAAGGCAATATTCTCTGTTAAAAATTTCCAAAGGAAACTTGGCAGCATTAATTGTACAGATTTATTTAAAATCTTTGATTTTATGATATCACCCATTCTCTGTTATGGGTCTGAAATCTGGGGCACATCCTACTGTAATACCATTGAATCTGTCCATATTAAATTCTGTAAATATGTCTTGAAACTTGGGAAATCCACCTGTAACAATATGGTCTTGGGTGAATGTGGAAGAGTGCCTTTACAGTTTACTTATACAACCAATGCAGTGAAATACTGGTGCAGACTTCTAAACATGCCTGACTATAGATTACCAAAACAATGTTATTTTATGCTATTATCTTTAGACAGGGTAGGACGAAACTCATGGGCAACTAGAATTAAAAATATTCTTTTTCAATTTGGCTTTGGATTTGTTTGGATAAGTCAGGAAATTGGTGATCACAAAATATTTATGGAATCATTTAAACAGAGACTACGTGATAATTTATTTCAATCTTGGCATTCATCTTTGGACAGTAACCGTAAATGTCTTTACTATAAGCAATTCAAATCTTTGTTAAATGTTGAGAGCTACTTGATAAATAATGATATCCCTCAATATTTAAAAACTATATATGCCCGATTTCGGTGCTGTAATTTTAAACTAGCAGTTGAAACGGGCAGATACACTGATGTTGCATATAATGAAAGGCATTGCCTGTTTTGTAAATTAAATGGTATCTTTGTTGTTGAAGATGAATGGCATGTGTTTTATATCTGTGATGCATATTCTCATATCAGAAATAAGTACATATCAAAATATTTTAGTAAATGTCCATCAATTATTAATTTTATATCAATATTACAGAGTAAAAATGTTAATATTATCAAGGATGTATGTCTATTTTTTATACTTTGTTGACAAGAAACACAAATCTAAATGAAATATATATGTGCTCTACTTATCATCAATTTATGTACATGTATTTTGGGCCGGAGGCCTGTTACTGAAATAAAATTCTGTTCTGTTCTGTTCTGTTCTGTATAATGGACCGGTGGCCCCTTTACCGGAATAAAAGCAATTGCTGCTTTGGCTACTACAACATGCATTGCTGCTACTACTTCGTTACTACTTCTGCAACTACAACAACTACTACTACAGCTGCAACTACTACTCACACCCCTCCATCTACAACCAGATCCGTGACTGTCTTGCGAAACAGTGAAGGTGTTTCCCACAGAGCCTTGTATTGCTGAAAGTAATACGTCCAATA